CCTCTCAAAATTTGCTTCCCTTTTAACTCCAAACCTGGCAGAGATAGGTCCATAGTTACTATTGAAGTTGAATAGGAAGTCATATACTGGCAATCTAAATGTGACCTTGAAATTGACCTTTGACCTACTTTTGATTCCCTTTTATCAAAACTGGCAGAGATACCACCATAGTTACTATTGAACTCTTATAAAAACTCATATGCTGGCAATCTTACTGTGACCTTGAAATTAACCTTTTACCTACTTTTCAACATGAACTAAATTTTGCAGTTTTCTGATCATTATGTCTCTAAAGCAGGCAGAGATATGTTCTTAGTGAATATTGAAATTGAATAGGAACTCATATACTGGCAATCTAACCATGACCTTGAAATTGACTTTTGACCTACTTTTGATCATGAACGGCACTTCCCAAATTTCCAAGCTCTTATTTTTACTATTGAACTTGGATTGATTTGACCTTCTACTTTTCCTCATGATTTTGTTATAGATTGTAATTTTCAACAAAAGAAATTGGGAACTCTAGTTTACTGCATTTTGTAGAGCTTGTCAAGCACAACAGCGAAGGTGGTGTCACTTTTTTCCCATACATCATGGTTAATGCAGCTGGTGGTACAATACCCAGAGGTGGTATCGCCTCTCTGATCCTCTATTTACATTTCATTTTGCCCTTTCTTTTTGTATTTCAGGTGAAGAAGAGGCCAGAGTCAAACATGTCAAGAATATGGGATATGAACATGTTTTGGATGTTCTCACAACACTGCCAATGGATGTTCTGAACAAGTGCCTTGCAGCTAAAATAGAGGAATGTGTTCAGAAATTTCCTGAGAAAAAGACAGAAAACTGGTGGTCCCCCCTACATAAAGAAGTATGAAATATACCTAAGAAGAAGCGCCAAATTGTCATAATTATTTCTTTTATGTACAGACACATTGTGTCTGAATTATGCAAATTTTCCATTCTTTATATCATGTCTGCACAAATATCCATCACCTGCGTCTGTCGTCACAGTCATCATGGTCAGTTCGTAGTTTTTCCTTGGGTAAATACAAGCTGAGTTCAGAGCTATTAAGTCACTCGCTATTAACAGGCAGCTGTTGGCCAGTGAATGAGATGACATGAAACACACTCATTGGGATTTTCAAGATGTGACTTTGAACTCCCAAAGGTTTAGCCCTGTGCCAGATACTGTTTCTGAAAGTCCATAATATTGAAAGTGTAACATAATTAAGAATTGGTGATAATTTTGCAGGTAAATGTTGCATGATATTGTATATAAATTAATTTAAAAAAAGGACTGTACTTTTTGTACTGTCAACATTTATAGTTGATGAATAACAGCGGACCTTATATCCTCAAATTCACTGGGTAATTCTTGGCATATTAATAAAGTTAAATTAAATGTTTGAATAGCAGCTTTATTGGAATATCTTTTGATACACATTTTTTGATTATCATTTTCAAGATGTGACTTTTCACCCCCATCCACCTAAAGCCCTGTACTAGTAACATTTTCTGTATTACCAAGCAATGGTGGTGGTGGTGTTTAAACTGTTAAGCATAATGTTATATTATTCTGTACAATGTCATCAATATTAGCATATTGGGATTTTCACAGACATGGCAGAAACTCTGGTCCTTTGGACCAGCTGGACAAAAAAATCAGCTAGGGGGTAAAGATAATTACCCCCTAACAGCTTTACTAGGCGTGATAGACATTTAAGCCAGTTAAGTTGATAGCAGTTTAGTGAGACTCCACAGGGAGATAGATCGATCCAAATATCTGTTGGAATAGTCCCTTAGTTACATACGCCTGTAATTTGCATTAGACCCTATGTGTGCCAAACTGGTCAAGTTAGCTGAATATGAACAAAAGTGCCCATAGGGGTAGTAGACATTATATTTATGAGGTATTATACGAAATATTGGATAATATAATATTGAGAAATCAATTTTACCGTTGGAATGTTTAAGTTCCTTTTAAGGTCAGTTGTTACTATCCTAGTCCTCTGTATGAATAATTTCTCTTGAGGAAGGTGTCAGTCCTCATAATTTAGTGATGCATTTGCCCTGGTATTGTTACACATGCTTGGCAGTGAAACTAGGTCAAGAATAGAATGCACACGTGGTATGTATGTAACGCAATGAATATACAATGACTGTGCGTTATAGTGAAACCAGGGGTATTCCTGAAATGAAAAGCATCAAGAAGAGTGGAAATAATGAGAGGCAGCTTTTTTCTTCCGATTCATCTGTAAGAATTAACATTTTATTATAATTTAAGTCAGAATTATCCAGAATTAGTTTCACGCTTGTCAGAAAATCTTTATTCGTCCCAGAGACCAATAGCTTACTATTTTCAACCGTCCAACCTCATTTCAATCAGTCGTAATTGGCAGGACTGACAATTTCCCAATGTCTGGTATGTGAATATAAAATGTTGTGGGCTTGAAGCTGTATTCTTATCGTCTGTGTTACCTGTTGTGTACGATTTCAATTTGGTGTTGATGGACTGTACTTTTAAGCATTATTTATTATTGCATCAAAATTGACAAAATGACCCGTTTTGTGTATCTTTATTTTGTTCTTTTTGTCTGTACATTTAACATCTTTGCTGCCTTGTTTATAAGGTGTGCAGATGTTTTAAAGAATTATTTTTTATAAGAATTAATATTTAATCAATTATAAAAGAGTTGATTTTTTTCTAGGGAAGGCCATCACTGGAGCTGTTGAATAGAATGGATTGTATTTATTTCGCTGATCTAGAGAATTTTTCCAAATATGATGAACTGCAGGAGTTACTCTCTGACGGAACATTTTTATGGGGATTTGGTTCACCTAAATTTCTACCGTAAGTTGGCTAAATAAAAATCCAAATTTATTTGATAATCTCTTGGTAGTTTTCCACAAATAAAGTGAACTACATTTAACTTGTCACTTTATAACTCAAATTATTGTGCATACAGTTTTCTTCACCAAGTATCGTTATGTCCTTGTAGTTGTTTCTCAAGAGTTTTATGTGAAAGTAGGGTTGTTATGACCCAATCTTTTCTAAAAGAGAAAAGATTTTAAGTTTTATGTGTTTTTAAAGTAGTTACAGGACAGAAAGCACTTTATATCTAAGACCTCATTCATCCACATCAGCAGGGATGGATTACAATAAAAAATGGAAATAATTTAAATAAAAGTATCGACTATTTTTACATAATAAATGTGTCAAAGGTGTTTCATAGTTTTAGGACAGACATTAGGATCTCGGCCTGCCATCCCCATTGCTGTTGCCAATAAGAATGTAGTTTTCTTGTACACTATTTTGCTTATTATTCACAGATGTAGTCGTAGATTCATAGACTAAAATTAAGCTTGGATTAGAAAACTGGCCTGATTGAAGCATTTAACTTTTGGGGATTTTTTTCAATTTTCACACCTGTCATCTATAATTCCCATACGGACCTGGGGCCCATTTCACGAAGCAGTAGTTAGTTACCGATCGGTAGTTAGTCTCTTGCTAGTTATGAGTGCAGTTTCACGAAGCTATCGCTAGTTCTCTCACTCGTTATTGTGTCGTTGTTACCTTGGGTATTTAACGACTGGTCAGACCAGTAGCTAACTCTAGAGTTTCATTGTACGCATGCGTAAGGAATGAAATAGAAAGGTTGCTTAGTTACTGTTGTCTATCATATCCACTATTTGCGGCTACCTTTCTTGCAAACCGTACAGCCAGATGGCAACATATACCACGATGTTTTCATGATAAGCAGAATCTATTAGCATATACACAGGATGATGCAATTTACTGAACTTAGCGATGAGTTAACAACTGCTTCGTGAAACGCCCCTTAAGTTATCTCGTTAGCGAGATAGTTCAGTAGTTGTTCTAACTAACGACTGCTTCATGAAACGGGCCCCTAAAGCCCTATGTTAGTTAGATTCTCTGAAAGACCACATAGTACATACATTTTAATTAAAATTTAGTGGTGATAATGCTGTTAAGCATTATGTAATATTGTCTCTAGTCGTGTATTATCATTGAATTTTGCAATACATTTCAGGAATAAAAAATTTTTCATGCAGCCCAACACTTACTATGAAATTGCTACAGACACTGAAAAGGATGCTGCAGACATTTGCCTTATTATAAGGGTAAGCAATGTTACTGGTATGGGTAGTAAATTATTTTAAAACATAGCTGGCAGGGCTTGACATAAACTTTTTAGGCACTTGCCAGCTGACAAGTAAGTAGGTCTGGGGGGTGTTTTGAGAAAAAATTATAGGCTTTTTTGTTGTTGTTATTGTTGTTGCCAGGGGAGATTTTAAGTATATAATTATTAAATACTATACATTATCCTATAATCTTGACTTTGTGCTAATTAATTATTATTACAAAACACAGCATATAATGTATTTTTATAATCAATCAATATTTCTTTGTTAATATTGAAATTCAAATCTTACCTAGTCAAATTTTAATATGGCCAAGACAGAATTGAAATTTTAATTTGGCCTATACCAATTTAAAATCTGTCTACAAGGTAGATTTATAATATCTGACTTAAATTCATTGTGGACTAACTAAAAACAGACGCATGCACATTGCACTTACGCACATATACATACGTACACACACACACTCACCATGATTTGGAAGCTTGTCAGAAAAAATGTCTGGACCTGTCCCTGCTTTTCACCATGAATGGTATGTTGCAAGTTATGGGTCCTTGTATTGCCAAAGACATACACCCATAGTTACTATTGAACTTGAAAAACAACTCATATACTGGCAATCTTAATGTGACCTTTAATTTATCATTTGACCTACTTTTCATCATGAACTGTACTTTGCAAATTCTAGACCTTATATCTCCCAAACTGGCAGAGATAACCAATTATCTTAGTAACTGTTGAAATTGAATAGAAAATATTATATTGACTATTTATGTGTCATTTAATATGACCTTTGACTTATATTTCATCATGAATTGCACTTTGCATGTTTTTTCAGGTGGCACAGATGGGTGAGAAGATCTCTAAACACGTCGCATTTGAGGTCTGGTCGTCAGATAAAATATTCGAGATGTTACCTAAGATGATAAGAAGGGATTCAGATAGAGAGATTGAAATAGTCAAACCCCACCAGAAAAAACAAAACGGCAAAGTTACTGTAAAAAAATTCAATGTAAGTCTGATCACAGTGCTTAAGCCCTTTTTGCACTGGATGGTGTCCTTTCTGTGTCCCGCAGTACGGCCTCGTTTGAGAGTTTAGTAAGAAAAATACTTAAGCATTCATTCTGCAACAAAGCAATGCTTGTGTCTCTTTTCTATGACCACGGCGATGCCAGTTTTATGGTCACACAAAAGACGCAGAAATGACGCCGTCCAGTGTTAAGGGGGTTTTAGTTATTACAATTGCACCACCAACGTAGGTGCTGGTGGTACACATGGTTTTAGTCCCGACCCGCCTGTTTCGCCGGCTCCACCGCCATGTCACCGTTACAGCTTCTCCTCCTAGACTACAAGGGCCTGCATACCCATCTCTTGGATTTAGTATATATTTTTAATCTGCAGTCTAGAATGTCCACGGATCAGCTGGTTCTGAATGTGCCAATTGCCATTAAACTAAGTCCTGACTATATTATGCTTTGTTTGATGAAACCTTAATATAACATGTCTGCACTTTCAGAGAAAAAAAATTGGAAAACCAACTTTGGAGCAAAATTGCAAGTTGCAGGGTGCCCGGGTAGAGGACAATGTTTCTGTTGGATCCCACATTTGGAAAAGTATGTATATATGTTAAGAGAAATGATTATCCCTATTTTCAAAGAATATGCCTGTTAGTCAGCAGTTACATGAAATAAGAATATATGAATGAGGAGTTATTATTATTATTGTACCACCAGCATAGGTGGTGGCGGTACACATGGTTGTAGTCCCGACTGTAACGAAACTGAGGGTCTGTCTAACAGAAAGTCCGCCCTCCATATAGTTATAATGGTCAGGGTTAGTTGGTCAAAATCTAGGACGAGGCTCACCTGTACAAATGAATGGGAAGCGGACTCTCTCTTATGGGGGACTCTCTGTCACGTTACATCGACCATCTCATCTGCTGGTTGTCACCGTTACAGCTTCTCCTCCTAGACTACAAAAGCCTGTATACCCTTCTCTTGGATTTAGGTCACATATAATCTCAACTCAATCCACATAAATTTTGGACTTTGTCAGTTGTAGTCCCGACCCATCTCATCTGCTCGTTCCTCTGCCTTGTCACCGTTACAGCTTCTTCTCCTAGACTACAAGAGCCTGCATACCCATCTCTTCGATTTAGGTCACACATAATCTCAACTCAATCCACAAAAATTTTGTACTTTGTCAGTGCACATGCCTAGGTGTGGCACACATTGAAACACACCCTTGTCAAAATGTTTGTTGCCCTACATATATCAAAGAGTACAACCTCACAATATTCAGTGGCGAAAATAATGTGAAATAATCCCAAAATTAGCAGAGTTATACCCATAGTGACTTTTGAACTTCAATAGGGTGTCATATATTGGTAATCGTACTGTGACCTGGAACTTTGATCAACTTTTCACCATGAACTGCACTTTGCAAATTTTTTTACCTTTATATAATATCCAAAACTGGCAGAGATATGCCCATAGTTACTATTAAACTGGAAAAGGAAATCATATATTTGCAAACTAACTGACCTTGAATATGACCTTTGATCAACTTTTCACCATGAAGTCCACTTTGCAAAATTCCAACCCTTTTATCTCCGTAAATGGCAGAGATACACCCATAGTTACTATTGAACTTAAATAGGAAATCATAGTTTGGCAATCTTTGACCTTGAATTTTACCTTTGACCTACTTATCACAATGAACTGGACCTTACAAATCTCCGACCCTTATATCTCCAAAACTGGCAGGGATATGCCTATTTGAACTTGAATAGGAAGTCACATATGCACATATTGGCTATCACCTTAAATTTGACATTTGACAAACTTTTTACCATGAACTTCACTTTGCAAATATTGCAACCCTTATAACTCCAAAACTGGCAGAGATACACCCATAGTTGCTAATGAACTGGAAAAGTGAGTCATATCTTGGCAATCTTACTTTGACCTTGAATTGACTTTGACATACTTTTCATTTCATCTTGAATTTAACCACAGCATGCCCATAACAAATATTTCAATATGTTCAAACAGACTACCAGTGCCAAAAAAGAATTCCACTATAAACAACATTTCCTCTAAGTGCCAATGCTTTTACATGTCCACTTCTCCTACCCCCCTCCTCTTTCAAGTTACTGCCTCAAAATCTAAAAACCCAATCTCTATAAATTGCCTAATTACACATTTCAGTGTTTTGTCAATTACTCCTAACTAACATCAATCAACATACTCCAACAAACCACAACTACTCAAAACTCAGCAATCACAATTCCAAACACTAAATTAAATACATTCAAACATTTTCTGTCACCACTACAAATATATTGATTATTCCCACTTCCACCTTATGCAATATAAACCATCTACCTTCAATGAACAAAATGGACAAAACTATAGCCTGTATACATTTACTACTGTTACAAAAAGTTGCATATGTGTTAAAAACAATCATACATTAAATGCCTTTATCCACACGTGAATTTAAACTATTCTACTTCTCCACATAAAGTACTGTACCCACTTCCAACCCTACTTCAAAACTTATACACACAAATCCATACCTTCCCTTCGATTTAAATACGCTTACTTCCACTGGTGGTGCATTATCAGGAGGCGGTATCACCTCTCTGGTTTTTTAAATATGTCCACACCTCATAGTATAAAGAGGAGTGTGATCCATTGATTTGAGTGAGAAAAGTAAGGAAATGACTCCTTTTTGGAAAATATTGTGCACAGCAAATATTGTGGCATTGTTACTATTTCAACATCGTGTTTACCCCTTTTGGGGATGATATTGGGTATTCCCCCCAGGTCGGGATATCAGTTGGATTATTCACTAGGGCCTGGTATGTACGTGTTCAGAAATGTTAATCTCTGCATTAAAAGTACACCCCTATTAAAGTTAATTATAGGGGTTTAAAACTTAAATCGTTGGGACTCAGCAGGGATAAATACTACTCTTACTCGGCCTAAATCTACTCAGCTCACTTTTACCCACCCACTGTGAGCAGGACATCATCATCAATAGAAAAGTGCTCCTGTACTTTCATTTAAATAAACAGGGTAATGCACCTGATAAACAGTGTGAAAATGCCGACCTTTGTGAGTCGGAACAATAGCAGCTCGCAGATGGCGTTGCTTATTTCTTAGTTAAATGCTCTCAAATTGCCTTATACTGTTCAAGAACCATGAAGAAAAAGACAATTACAGAGATTCCTTGAATATTCCCTCCTTTTACAATACATTTTTTTTTTTTTTTTTTTTTTTCTATAATTTCAAATGATGAACATGCTAGTAAAAATCACACACCGTCTTTCCCAACTCGGGTTTATTCAATTTGATGCACTATAAATGTCAGAAGTTAAACAGTGATAATTTTTCTTGTCAAAGGTAATTAAGTTTAATTTTGAAATAAATAATATATGTATCACAGTTGCATAAATTTTCTTAATTTGTCAACTCATACACGATGATACACTGCAGTAAGGTTATAGGATTGCAGTCATTTTAATTATTATGTACAGACACAGATGTGTCTGTACATATTGCCATCACCTGCGTCTGTCGTCGCCGATGCTGGCGCCGTGCACTTTCCTTGTAAACATGATAAGTGGAGGGCAGTTTTACTTTTTGGCTTAATATTTACAGAGCTGATGAATATTCATAAAACGCAGGTCAAGTTCGAAAACCAGCATGATCGGGCCATTATTGTAGAAGTTATGCTGTTTTTTCACTTTTCAGCATATATGCAACCCTGTAAACACATTTAAAGGAAAACCGTTAGGCCTGTTGTCATGAAACTCACAGGAGTAATCAATCTTACTAAAATGCAAGTCAAGTTCAAAAATCGGCATGATCCGGNCCTTTTTTGTTATTTCCTGCTTTTTGTCTGTACATTTGACAGCTTTGCTGCCTTGTTCGTATGACAATCAATCTCGTAACTAGCATCTTTAGAGGAAAAGTTCAGGTAAAACATCTTTTTACAATAAAAACAACACAAAATTTACCAAAGATATTATAAAAATAGTCAAAAAGATAGAAAGAAAATTTGGTCACCAATTTACAGGGAGTCCACTTACAAATATACCCTCGTTCCCCAAAAAATTTCTTAAGCTGTCCAGCTGTCATTTAAAATATGGGTCGTCTTTCGAGCCCAGTAGCTGTCCAAATGAAAGGTGGAAGGCTCTCTGGGAAACACCTTGCTTCAGATATAACAAAAAAGGATGCCTAAAATTTATATTCGGTGTAGACATAAGTAGGTTTTTTTATAACAGGAACCAATATATTCCTGCAATAAGAATTATGATGTCGGGCTCTACCTGCTGCTGCATAAAACTTTTTGAGTGCCTGCTATGATTATTTGACCAAAGTCAGGGTAATACTTAATCTTATGTAATGTTAAAGTTGAATTGTTATTTTTATCTTAATCTGGTGTTGTACTATCATGGTAGGTGAATCGCAACCTGGTGGGGAGGAAAAGAAGAAGACACCAGAAACAAAATATCCTGTCGATATTCTTGACAGGCAGCGTCCAGGACTGAAATATAAGCTTGTCGCTGAAATTGGAAAGGGCAAAGCTAAGAATTTTATTATGGAGGTGACGGTGGACGGAGAGACATTTCAGGGTTCAGGGAGGAGAAAAATAGATGCCAAGAGACTTGCGGCTAAAGCCGCCCTCAGCAAGATCTTCAACTGGGAAATCTCTGAGGTTCCAGGTAGAGCTACAGCACAGGCATTCTTCACAACAGGGGGCTCTGTTCTCACTCATTTCAGCTTTTATTGTCACTCTGCCTGGCATCTTTTCTCTTTTGGTTCTTGTTCTGTTTGTTGCAGACAATTTAAACAAAAAAATCTAACACTGGTGAAGATAACATCTTGACACAAAAAGAAAAACAAGGGTGTTAGAGAAAATTTGCCAAATACTGGTATCTTAAGATGAGATCTTGTTTCCTCAGGGCTTTTGTTTGAAGCTTTAGTCAGCCATCTTTCCTTAAGAACGGCTCCCCCTGGTGTGCAGAATGTTGACAACAGGAAGACTTATATGCAGTGTAGTTTGGTGTAACACTTCTGTCTGAGGATCTTATTGAATGTTTTTGTTTTTCTGGAAGACCTGCACGAGTTTTTTTCTTTAAGCATCACTATTTTACCACACCTAGCACAGATGCTTTTACTGACTCTTTTTTTAGATTTTCTCGGTCATGACCGATTGGACCGACAGTTTCAGCATGTCTGGTTGTGGACCACATATAATGCACATATCAATTAATTCCTTTCATTTTGAAGAAAAAAAATTTATGGAGACTTTACAATGAAAAATTTTCAGACTTGAATATGACACTCTCCATATTTATCCAGATTTTGCAGTATATTAAATATGTTGTATTTTATGTTGTGCTGCTTGTTCTCCAGTGTATATAGTGTATTTACAGAGAGCTAGTCTTGAGTTTGACCTTTTTTTTTTCACCACAAACTGCATTTTGCATATTTTCTGCCCCTCTTATCTTCAAATCTGCCCAGTGTTTCCCCTGGGTTTCTTTTTATTCAGCATTTATGCAACACTGATAACACATTTCAAGGAAAACCATATGCCTACTGTCTTGAAAATCACAGGAGTGATCAATATTACAAAAATACAGGTTAATTCGAAAATTATAGTTATGCTGTTTTTTCACTTCTTTTTGCATTTTTTGATAACTTATTTATTGCATTTTATAGAGCTTGTCAGGCTGAACAATGGTGGTGGTAGTGGTGGTGACCCCTTTTTTTGGTTTTCCATATGAATGCACTTACTCCAGTTGGTGGTACAATGCTCAGAAGCGGTATCACCTCTCTGATCCTTTAGTTAGCTGATTTTCATATTTTATTCATATTGAGTTTCAACGAGCCATGCGTCCTTTACCTGATTACATAATATTCAAAGATAAAGTGATGTTTGCGTCCCCCGCTGTGGCGTCAACAGCTTATTTTGACAAGGCTCGCACTACAGACTGGCTCAAGAAAAACATTGTTTTACCTTGATGCCGATGAGTCTATTACTTATGGTCATTTTCCCCACGGCAACCATTCATAAAAAGGGGGGCGTAGTTAGGTATTAGACAATTTTTCTGATCACTTAATGCGTTAGCAGTGCGTTGTCTTCAAATTAAATCCGTTAACT